TATAATTGATAAGGGGCAGACTAATGGTTGAGAATGTGAACTATTGTTATTTAGCATCCAATTACTTTCATTTTCGTTGTACATTAACCCTTAAATGTCATAAATGGATACAGCGTACCATCTCGTCGTACGAAGAGTTCGGTTCCTAAGAAACTGATCGTTAAGCCGAATGGATGATAAGTCGAACCTTTCTATGAATATCATCAATCACCTTTTTGTAAGGATTTATTTTTATTGTTTTATTTTTGTATTTCATTTTTTACTTTACTTTTTATGCTGTCAGTACTGTATTTTATACTGTAAGGTTTAGGATAAACACTGTGTACAACACAAACAGTTGTTTATTTCCCAGGAATTGGCCATAGAAAACAAGGTCGTATGTCGAATGGTCATTATGTCGAGCAGGGTCGTAAGTCGGATGGAGAGGTGTATATCCGTTTCTCTCGCGTAGCGCCCCAAACGTATATATATGTTTTCCTTGTCATTCATTCAACATTGCCACGATAAGCCTGAGTCGCCTAGACATGAGAGAATGGGTGTGTGCACTCACTGTGTGCCATATGAAAAGAATTGGGGATGCCTGGGTACCATATGCTCTTTTTTCCTATTAAAAAAAAAAATTTTTTTCCTCAAAAAATTTGGGACGCTACACGAGAGAACGTATATACAGGTCTCCCTCAACATTTGCAAGGGTTGGGGGATCAAGAGCCTCACAAATGTTGAAAAATTGCGAATGTTTGGTGCCCCAATATATTGTAGGGAAATATAATACAATACTGCTTCCTTAACTTGTTGAACCATGAACAATCATAAAATACATGAAAACATTGTAAATTGTACTAAATACATACATGTTATGCTTTAATAACATGTATGTTATTAAATACCACTGCCTCCACCACTTCCTCAACCACTGCGAGTCCCTACTACCCTCCCTCCGACCCCTGCAACTGGTAGCTAGCCCTCCCACCACTCAGTGTGGTGAGTGTTTTGTTTGTTCATTATTTGCTATTAAACTACAGTATAAATAATGTAAACCCATTCATGACTGTATATTGGAATGGCTATTGGGACAGGTATTGGATGGTGATATCATGTGTTTACTCTTGAACACAGCAAAGAATCAAACATTTCTGCTACTGCTAATAATAACAACAGTAATAATAATAATAATAATAATAATAATAATAATAATAATAATAATAATAATAATAAATACGATAGAATTGAAGAAGGAAATTGTACAAAAATATGAGGGAGTGGTTGACACATTGTCAGTGTGGCTTTGTTTATGCTGGAGTGAGAATTAGTCTCCGTGCTCTTCCAAACATTTCACAATAATTCATTGTGTTTGGTGCTTGTAGATTGAGTGCGACTGGAGTGGTAGAGGCAGTGGTAGAGGCACTGGTTGAGGAAGCGGTTGAGGCAGCAGTTGAGGCAGTGGGTGAGGCAGTGGGTGAAGCAGTGGGTAAGGCAGTGGGTGAGGCAGCGGTTGAGGCAATGGTAGAGGCAGTGGTTGAGGCAGCGGTTGAGGCAGCAGTTGAGGCAGTGGTTGAGGCAATGGTAGAGGCAGCAGCTGAGGCAGTGATATTTAATAACATATATGTTATAAATAATAGTACATGTTATTATTAATAACATGTATTATTATTATTATTATTATTATTAATAACATGTATGTTATTATATACCACTGCCTCAACCACTACCTCAACTGCTGCCTCAACTGCTGCCTCACCCACTGCCTCAACTGCTTCCTCAACCACTGCCTCAACCACTGCCTCAACCACTGCCTCAACCACTGCCTCAACCACTCCAGTCGCACTCAATCTACAAGCACCAAACACAATAAATTATTGTGAAATGTTTGGAAGAGCACGGAGACTAATGCTCACTCCAGCATAAACAAAGCCACACTGACAATGTATCAACCGCTTCCTCATATTTTTGTACAATTTCCCTCTTCAATTCTATCGTATTTATTATTATTATTATTATTATTATTATTACTGTTGTTATTATTGGCAGTAGCAGAAATGTTTGATTCTTTGCTGTGTTCAAGAGTAAACACATGATATCACCATCCAATACCTGACCGAATAGCCATTCCAAAGTACAGTCATGAATGGGTTTACATTATTTATACTGTAGTTTAATAGTAAATAATGAACAAACAAAACACTCACCACACTGAGTGGTGGGAGGGCTGGCTGCCAGTTGCGTGGGTCGGAGGGAGGGTAGTAGGGACTCGCAGGTGGCGGGAAACTTAAATATGATTTGGTGGCTGGGAATTTGGCAGTTGGGAATTCGTGAATGTGTGAAGCCCGCGAATGTTGAGGGAGACCTGTATACGTTTGGACTGTTTAACCCTTTTAGGGTTTCGGCCGTACTAGTACGGTTTACGAGCCAGGGCTTTTGACGTACTAGTACGCCTAAATTCTAGCGCCCTCAAATCTAGTGAGAGAAAGCTGGTAGGCCTACATATGAAAGAATGGGTCTATGTGGTCAGTGTGCACAGTATAAAAAAAATCCTGCAGCACACAGTGCGTAATAAGAAAAAAAAATTTGACCGTGTTTTTGGATTAAAACAGCGAATTTGCACTGTATTTTCGTATGGTATTTATTGTTGTATTCTAGTTTTCCTGGTCTCATTTATAGAATGGAAGACATATTACAGAAATTGAGATGATTTTGACTGGTTTTACAAAGAAAAGTACCTTGAAATTGAGCTCAAAGTAGCAGATATGTTCGATTTTTACCAAAGTTCAAAGGTAAAAAATCATGCTATGCGTCCAATACACATCAACTGGTGAGTCTAATATTCTTTTACAAGTGCGCTGATATTATTTATACCCTTTCTCATCAATGCAGTAGTCTGCATAACATAAAATCTTCTATTTTTTTGAGAGAAATAAAAATTCAAAATGGAAAACAAAAGAATGTAAGAGGGGATGGGACATGACTAATGAACAGAGGAAATGTTATTTTAGTGCCAGGAATATCTTTCTTGTTTATTCTGGACCCTATTCGGAAATTGGCATCTTTTGAAATTTGTGTGAAATTGGCAAAATTGCTAAATTCTGACCACTGTATTGGATAGTTGAAATCGGTAAATGGGTGATTTCTTGTACTCATTCGATAGAAAAAATGGAGTTCTAGCGAAATAGTTTTGATTTTTGTCGACAAGTATACTGGAATTGGCCGAAAATAGGGCTCAAAGTGGGGAAAATCACCGATGCGTAAACATCGTCGAGACCGCTAACTTCGCGAGAGCATAATTCCGTATGTTTTCCATCAAATTTCATACTTTTGGTGCCATTATGATTGGGAAAAGATTCTCTATCTTTTCATAAGAAAAAATAATTTTTTTTTTTTTTGAAATTTGGCCGACCCTGAGAAGAAGTCTCTGAGAGGGCCTGTCGACCCTGAAAGGGTTATGGGTTAAGAAGCATCTTTCCATCACACATTGCCCAAGTTTCAGTAATATAGCTCAACAAATAACTGAGAAAAAAATATTTACTAAAAATCATATATGGCAAGCCCAGGCCAGGTACTGGAAATAGGTCACTTAGACTTTTTCGGGTTATACTTGGTTCTCTACATATATGTTGCTATGTATGATAATCTATGTAGAGAAAATAGCTTTTTTGTTTCAGTTTTATGGTGTATTACGAATGTATATCACAGTTAGCCCTGTGCTACACTCTGTTTTTTCTAATATAAGCCCCCAAGACAGGGACAGGAGAATGGTACTGGTATCCCATATCCTCTTCATACTTTCGTCGGACCACTCAGTATTATGCTAAATATTATTCATTCTGGAGTATTTACCATGTTTTATGTTGTTTATATTGTTTATAATGTCATATTGGAGCAATTGTGATAGGTAAATAAGCCCTAGTGTTGATATTAGTGTAATAGTAAAGCATATTCCCCTTGTATCATGAGACTGAGCTCATGGCAACCGACATTGGCTTCCAAGCCACCTTATCTTTTATGGACAATGTACTGTGTATGTGCTTTACACAACAAGTAGCATTTATTTTATTCACTGGAACCATGGCTAGGGTTAAAAGTAAGCAGGTTATAACAATAAATGGAGAAAAAGAAATTGGAATGACTTATGCAGCAAGTAGTGCCACCAAACATTACCAGCAGGTTGGTGTGGTGACCCTGGAAAATTGAAATTATGCTAGCTGAAATTAGTGCCGGATTACTGATGGAACCGGATAACTGATTGCCGGATTAGTGATGGCTGACCTGTACTACCACTACCACCACTGCTGCCATTATCATGGCTTCCACTACCTCTAGGGTACTTTTTTTTATATCAAATTAGGAAGACACATAGAAGGTAAAGAAATGATTGAGCCACAAGGATGTTGGGAGGTATATATGTACTACTATAGTCTCAGGACGGTTGAAAAGTGGAATAAGTTGAACAAGGAAGTCATGGAATTTAACTCAATTTAGCCACAAATAAAAAATCATATAACACAAAATTCTCTGCATAATACAATTTTAGATTTGGCTTTCTTTTGTGTTTCAGAGACCTCTCTGTACTGCATGGGGGGGACAAATAGCACACTCAACAAGTCATGAAGAGACAACTGGAGAGAGAGGAACTTCACTAAAAATGCTCTGCCTGTGCAACAGGCTTCTTAAGAACCTTGTCTCACAAGTAATATATCTCAATAAAGTTCATCTCTGCACTTGTCTTTTCCAACCACTGCACCATGAGGAAACACAAGATATACTGCATAACTGAATTGTCCATCACTAAAAATAATGGATAACTGAATTTTGCACATAAGAAACCTCTCAAATTTGTGGAGTGAACAGTACACACTTTTATGTGCCAAGAAACCAACAATGGTGATCAAAGGAAGGGACATCACACAAGGCTAAAACCCTGAAAAGACAGCTCTGCGAGTACACTGGAATAAATAACTTAACAGATAATGCACGGTACAGCTATACTTGCCGCTACATAAGCTTACCAACACAGTCGTGTCCACTTGTTGTGTTGGCTGCTTTTTCTTCATGGCATCCCGGGTCACTACTTTTTGGTGCCTTGATATAAGCTATACTGCTTGTTGCATCTCCATCAAGGCTTTTATTCTTTTTCTCACTGTTTGAGGTATCACTATTTTCATGGTCCTTTTCACTGCAAACATCACTGTTTACATTCCTTTTTTCACTGTTTATAACATCAATAGTTTCATTATCCTTATCACTGTTTATATAACAGTCATTGTTTATAATAATTTTACTAGCTGTATCATCTATGCTTTTATTAATGATTCCATTATTGGAAGACTCACTAGTACTTTTATTAACATTTCCATTACTAGCATTACCACCATGACTTTCCTTCATGATATCACCACAGTAGTTTTCAATCATTTTTTCTTCACTTGTGTTGTTACTACTGCTGTCTTTCCCATTTTCACCATTTGCCTCATTACCGTTTTCATGAAAGTTTTCACTATTTGCATTACCATGGCTTTTCTTACTATTTTCATTGCTATCTTTTTTTGGTAAATCAATATTCTCACTTTCATCTACATTCATTCTCAAAAATTTCTGATTGTTACCAGTCTTTTTTTTACTTTCTTAATTTTCATGTCATCTGTTCCTTTAATAGCATAACTGTACTGGTTCTAATGAGTTCAAAGTTAACTCACAAGATTCTAAGTTCAAAATCCAAAATCACTCTTGATACCTGAGGATGTTAACAAAACTGTTTCAGTAACAAGTGTGTGTAAATCTCTTGTACAAATACATCTGTTAGTTACTATTGTTCTATTAGTTTAAGATGAAAGCATTTGATGGTTCAGCGAAGAACCTTGATAACATGTTGCACTTTCATAGTGGTTTTCAACATTTTAACATCTTCAGAACAGTCACTCCAATTCTGCTCTGTAGTCTGCTTACCATTTGCCTGTAAAAATTACATGTTCAGCATTTGTCACAAGCTAAGAGTATGTAAAATTATGTCAACAAATTACATTAACATAGCTCAAATTATGTCAACAGTGTATATTACCAGTCATAAGACATGGGGGTATACTTTATATCAAATAATTAGATTTTTGCTTAGCCCCAGCCACAAGATGCAGAGATTATATTTTCAGGCCTCAAAGATGGGAGTAAATTGGGTTTATCTGCATTAGTAGTCAATACATACAATGTTTCGTATCCTTTGAGCTTAGCAGTATGCCTACTGGCCCATGCTAGCCAGATTCCTCTAAGATCCAACCCTTTCAGTGGCTGTCAGGTACAATTATGTCAAGGCCGAGGGTCCATCACGTAGTTCTATGTCATGAGCTCAGTTCACTCAAGCTGTAAGCAGTAAATTTTGTCCTAGATACAAGACAAGGGATCTGTGTGGTGAACGTACACAGTATAAAAAAAAAAATCCTGCCCCATGTGGTGCATGATGGGAAAAGCAAAATGCTGTGTGAATGGATTAAAATAGTGACAATGAGGTGTTTTCTTGGATTTTTTTTATGGTTTCTTGGTATCATTTGATAGAATGGAAGATATACAGTGGACCCTCAGATAATGATATTAATTCGTTCCTGAGAGCTCATAGTTAGCTGAAATTATCGTTAGCTGAATTAATTTTCCCCATAAGAAATAATGGAAATCAAATTAATCCGTGCAAGACACCCAAAAGTATGAAAAAAAAAATTTTTTTTACCACATGAAATATTAATTTTAATATGCACAAACTGACATTTACCTTTATTGAAGATCTGGTGATGATTGATGGGATAGGAGGAGGGGAGTGTGTGGAAGTTGTTAATGTTTAGAAGGGGAATCCCCTTCCATTAGGACTTGAGGTATCAAGTCCATTTCTGGGGTTACTTCCCTTCTTCTTTTAATGCCACTAGGACCAGCTTAAGAGTCACTGGACCTCTGTCACACAACATATCTGTCCATAGAGCTCTGTACCTCTCGTTCCTTTATGATTTGTCTAAAGTGGTTCACAACATTGTCATTGTAACAGTCACCAGCACGGCTTGCAATAGCTGTGTGAGGGTGATTTTCATCCATAAAGGTTTGCACTTCAAGCCACTTTGCACACATTTCCTTAATCTCTTTTTTCAATTCCATACTAACTCTCACCCTTTTTACCATAGGGATGGCACTAGAAGCTTTCTTGGGTCCAAGGTGACTTATTTTGCAGCTACAAGCACTAAAAACACTGGGATAATGTGAAATGTACCGAATGTATGTGTAGATGCGACCGCACTGGCTGGCTTGTAAACATTGGTGCTCAGGCCACACGTGGACACGTCTCAAACGAATCCCGTAGGGTGAGTTTTTTAGCGTTAAACCGAGGCAAAATTTTTGCGTTAAAATGTATCGTTAGCTGGATTTAAATGTTAGGTGATGCCACCATTAGCCGAGGGTCCACTGTACTACTACTTAAATGAAGATTATTATGTATTTGATTTTTGCAGGTTTTCCTGATGACAGGTAAGGTCTGCCTACACCCCCAAAGTCTGTTTCATGGGTTTTTAACCCTTTCAGGGTCCCCAGGTCCTCTCTGAGACTTGTTCTCCGAGTCCCCAAATTTTAAAAAAAAAAATTATTTTTTTCTTATGAAAAGATAGCGAATCTTTTCCCGATCATAATGACACCAAAAGTACAAAATTTGATGGAAAACTTACGGAATTATGCTCTCGCGAAGTTAGCGGTCTCGACAATGTTTATGCACTGGCGATTTTGCCCACTTTGAGCCCTATTTTCGACCAATTCCAGTGTACTAGTCGACAAAAATCATAACTATTTCGCTAGAACTCCATTTTTTCTATTGAATGAGTACAAGAAACCTCCCATTTACTGATTTCAACTATCCAGTACAGTGGTCAGAATTCAGCAATTTTGCCAATTTCACACAATTTTTAAAAGATGCCAATTTCCAAATAGGGTCCAGAATAAACAAGACTTTACTGGCACTAAAATAACATTTCCTCTGTTCATTAGTCACGTCCCCGGGTCCCTCTTACATTTTTTTGCTTTTCACTTTGAATTTTTATTCCACAAAAAATAGAAGATTTACTGTTATGCAGACTACTGCATTAGTGTAGAAATGGTATAAATAATATCAGCACACCTGTGAAAGAATATTAGACTCACCAGTTCACGTGTATTGGACGCCTGGCATGACTTGTTTACTTTTGAACTTCGGTAAAAATCGAACATTTCTCCTACTTTGAGCTCAATTTCAAGGTACTTTTCATTGTAAAACCAGTCAAAATCATCTCAATTTCTGTAATATGTCTTCCATTCTATAAAATGAGACCAGGAAAAATAGAATACAACCATAAATGCCATACGAAAATACAGTGCAAATTCGCTGTTTTAATCCAAAAACACGGTCAAAGTTTTTTTTTCTCATTACGCATTGTGTGCTGCAGGATTTTTTTATACTGTGCACACTGACCACATAGACCCATTCTTTCATATGTAGGCCTACCAGCTTTCTCTAACTAGATTTGAGGGCACTAGAATTTAGGCGTACTAGTACATCAAAAACCCTGGTGCCTAAGCCGTACTAGTACGTCCGAAACCCTGGAAGGGTTAAGGCATAGGTTATAAGACATTCTGAAAGGGTGTTGCACAAATGTTGCACATGGGTTATTATCGAGATTTTTTTATATTTCATTGACCACTTATGGCCACATCCACCTCAAAGCCATTAAACTCGGGGCCAATATCACTTTCCTCTTAAAATGGGAGAGTTAATACTACATGAAACCAGTGAATCCCAGGTGTTTGCTGTGCTGTTTGCTCTAGCTGGCGCTCATTTGAACTGGTGCTCCCACAAGGTACTAAGTGGTCACAGATTTATTTAATACTGCGCACACTGAGTGTTAGGACCCATTCTATGCTGACAAGGCATCTCAGGCCAATCGTGCCAAATTTGAAGGCAGGAAAAATAAAACGTATATGTTTGGGGCACTAGCGGTAAAAACGTGTATATACGTTTGGACCGTTTACAGGTTAAAGCATGACATCATAGATAACAAGCGAGGTGTCCAGGTTTTGGGATGAGGGGGGAAGTGGGGGGGGAGGTGGCTCGTAACTCGGAGCAGAAAATCAACCCAGGGACAGCTCGTATCTCATAAAACTCGTACGTTGGGACACTCGTAAGTCAAGGTTTAACTGTATTGTTTATTATGTCATATTAGATCAATTATGATAGGCAAATAAGCTGTAGTGTTGATATTTGCATAATAATAAAGCATATTCTCCTGCATCGTGAGACTGAGCTCATGGCAACTGACAGTGGCTTCCAAGCCACCTCATCTTTTATGGACAATGTACTGTGTATTTGCTTTACACAACAAGAAGCATTTATTTTATTCATTGGAACGATGAGTAGGGCTAAAAGTAAGCAGGTTATAACAATAAATGGAGAAAAAGAAATTGGAATGACTTGTGTAGCAAGTAGTGCCACCAAACAGTAGCAGCAGGTTGGTGTGGCAAACCCTGGAAAATTTAAATTATGCTAGCTGAAATTAGTGCTGAATAACTGATGGAACCGGATGTCTGATTGCCGGATTTGTGATGGCGGATCTGTATAGCACTTTGTTTGACTTTCTTGGGTTGTCCTAGGTAATTTACACTATATACGTTACCTGTACTTATGTGTACATGTGAAATAATAAAGACAGAGACAGATACAGACAGCCGAAGTCAAGCAGCCAGCCACCCAGCCTGCCGAGCACGTATTCCACGTTCCAGAATCGTTTCTCTTTGCTTACCTGGAGTTTACCTGGAGAGAGTTCCGGGGGTCAACGCCCCCGCGGCCCGGTCTGTGACCAGGCTTAGGGCATAGGTTATAGATATTCTCGCAGGATGATACTACCGGTGGTCTTAAAATTGAAAGGGTGTGGTACAAATGTTGAGCATGGGTTATTATTGAAGTTTTTGATACTTCCTCAACCACTTGTGGCCACATACATCTCAAAGGCACTAAACTTGGGGCCAACATCACTTTCCTCTTAAAAGTGGTGTTAATATGACATGGCATCTGTGACTCCCTGGTGTTTGCTATGCTGTTTGCTTTAGCTAGCACTCAATACAACTGGTGCTCCCACAAGATACTAAGTGGTCCCAGATTTTTTTAATACTGTGCACACCGAGTGTTAAGACCCATTCTATACTGACTAGGTATCTCAGGCTAATCATGCCAAATTTGGAGACAAGAAAGATAAAATGACACTCTACATTTGGAGCACTAGCAGTAAGAACACAGATCAACATTTGGACAGTTAAGGGGCTAAATCAATTTAAAGTATTCATACTCACTTAAAACTGTACTATTGTAAATTGTGCAAATTGTAATATTTTTTTGTTATCTCTTTCTCTACTATAAATCTTACTAATATTTTTTTTATAACAATATAAAATAAAAATTTACTACTGCATAACATATGTCTAGTTTTAAGTAGTGAATAAGCATTAGGCATAGTCTATTCAAAATGCTCAGGCATGTTAGTGGCTAGAGGATCAGTGAGTGATCCAGTGTTCAATATTATTATTATTATAATTAAAACCAAATGCTAAACCCACTTGGGAGTGTGCAATAACAAAAAACTTTATTACTAAAAAGTGGAGTACATTATACAATTAAAGTGGCACACATAGAAATTACTATACTGAAATTATTATTATGTAAGACATTTTTGGCAGCCTTAAATTATTATTATGTAAGACATTTTTGACAGCCTTAAAACTAACTTGCAATTACTAGTACAGTAGGGCCCCACTTATATGGCAGGTTAGGTTCCAGGCTACCGCCGTAAAGCAGAAATCGCTGTAAAGTGCAACACCCTTTTTTTCCCCTTATAAATGCATAAAAATACTAGACAACAAGTTTACACTAACATATATTAAGTTAGCAATAGAACTAGGCATCAAAAAACAATAAAAAAGTACAATACACACATAGTGCACTCATTACTTACCTTAAAATATTTATAGTCTTAATCTAGGGTGAGACAAGTAGTATTTATTGTAAGAAATCAAGTGTGGTACGTATGGTAGTCAGCCAGGCTACCATACCAGGCCACCCCACCTACACATAATATTCTATTACATTTAAGCATCCCAGAGTGATAAAATGCATATACAGTTTACTCATTACTTACCTTAAAATATTTGTCGTCTTATTCTAGGGTGAGATGAGTACTATTTATTGTAGGAAATCAAGTGTGGTATGTATGGTAGTCAGCCAGGCTACCATACCAGGCCACCCCACCTACACATAATATTCAATTACATTTAAGCATCCCAGAGTGATAAAATGCATATACAGTTTACTCATTACTTACCTTAAAATATTTA